AAAAAAAAAAAAAAAAAAAAAAAGAATTCATGCCTGGTCACACTGGGTATCACACAACGATGAAAGGAGCTGTTCTGTACAAAGCTGACAAACAGAGACTGGCTCAACTGTGTCCCTCCCCCAAATTCATATGTCAAAGCCCAAAGACCCAGTACTTCAAAAAAATTATATTTTTAGAGATAGATCACTAAATAAATGAGTAAGCTACAATAGGATCAGATAGACATGCACTCATCCAACATGACCAGTGTCCTTACAAAAAATTAAGACACAGACAAGCACTGGGGGACAACCATATGAGAACACAGGGAGAAGACAGCACCTTAAAATTCAAGAAATCAACCATGCAGATACCTTGATCTCAGACTTCCAGTATCCAGATGCAATAACAGTAATAATAATGATGATGATGATAATAAATTTCCATTATTTAAGCCACCTGGTCTGGTCTGTGGTACTTTGTTGCAGCAGCCCTGACAGACTAACATGAATGATAAAGTGGAAAAATACCAAGACTCACTGTTCATCCAGGGAAGTAACCAGTTCTGGAGCTGCCGTATTTCCAATGTTATCTGTAGAGATAAGACTGTTCCCACAGTCATTTTGATGTGAGTTTTCTATTATTTGCAGCCAGAAGCAAATCCACAGACAGATACCCAATGCCACACCTGTCTTATCCACTGTGGAATGCATAATTAATGTCACACAGTCACTTCAAAATTAACATGTCCAAACTCCAGCTTCTCTCAGAGGCCCTTTTGACAGCCCCACCTCTTGCAGTTCCAGGGTCCTTCCTGCTTTGCCAGCCATGACTTTAACCCTTCTTGCACCTAATCAAACATTCATGTTGTCTTAATTTAAAAATTCTGCCACTGCCCTCCATAGTAACACTTTAAAGACATTTGTTCCAGTCATTGGAGGGCTGAAATCCACCAATATTGTTGGTTCTGGCATTCAGGGGACTCTGAATTACAGCCCCAACCTTCCTGCTCTCCTTGCTGCCCCAAGGTTCATCTTCCAAGCAACACTGATACTAGTGAGCTCTGTCACACAAATATAACCAGGTCACTCAACCACTTATAACCATACACTGCTAATTCTGTTGAGCACACAACCAACACACTTGAGTCCATACATGCCCCTGAAACGTATTCAAGAATGTTGTGAATAGCATCACACCTCTCTAGGACCACAAGTCTTCCACAGCATTAGAAGGAAAGGAGAGGCAGGGACAAAGTGGGATGTGAAGGATCTGTTGGGGTGGAGCATGCTTGGGACCAGTCACACATGGGCACTGACTTTCAGTTCATCGGCTACACACACAAGCTGTGAGATTTTCCACATCTCAACGTGACATTCCAATAAACAAATATAATACTTATCATAAAATTAGCAAGGAAGAAAAAAAGGAAGGAATGAAGGAAAAAAGGAAAGATATATATAGAGACAAACACAAGAAAATAGAGAATACAGAAAGGAAAGAAGGATGGGAAGGAGGGAGGGAAGGAAGCTAACCAACAAAAAACAAAGACCCCTCTGCATTCAGGGTATGCGTCAAGCTTCTGGACAGAGCAGAGCCCCTCGATGGCCCGCAGTGTCCCTGTCCCCATGACAGTGGTCATCCAGTGTTCCTCATTCTTCACCAGTGCACAGTCATCCAGCTTTCTTTGCACACACAGTCCTTTCCCTGGAATGCTTGGGTCTTCCAAGGCATCTTGACAATTGCTACAGCAGCCTTTCGGTTCCAACTTGGACTGTGCTGCTCCCTCTGCATATCTCTGCTCTCCCCCTGGAAGTAGGAAATGTTCTCTTCTCCTACTCACTGTGTCTCCTCCCTGCCTAGCTTTTCCAATTGACAAACACCCTCCAGGCTACAGCAATAGAGGCAGCAAGAATCCGGTGTGTGTTCCTGAGCTGCACTCAGAGGTCCCAGCAGTGAGGGGCTGAGGTAAAGGAGCTCGAAAGCCAGCCCCACACAAGGTGGCTGCAAAAGTGGAGGGTCAGACCTGGCACAGGAAGATCAGTAGAGGGGTCTTAGGGAAAGGGGTGACAAGCTCTCAGAAAGGCTGTAGAGTTGAAGCCATAGGAAAAGGATGGGTATCTAGGTCACAAGCCAAAGCAGCACAAACTCTCCCATAGTGAGTGGGCGGCGGCACCAAGAGGCCCACATGTCCCTCTCACGTAGGCAGAAGCTGCCACAGAGGACAATGAGACAAGGTGGACTGGGTGACACTGGCCACCCCTCTCCAACTCAGACAAAGGCACAGAAGGAGCCAGTGGGCAGCCCCCATCACGGAGATGCTGGGGCTTCGGAGGAACATGAGACACCATGTGGGATGTCCCTGTGGTTAAATTCAAATGCACAGATTAGAAAGTAGTACTGGGACTGAGGATGTAGCTCAGTGGTACAATACATACCTGGCAAGCACAATGCTCTGGGTTCCATCCCCAAGAACACACGCACACACACACACACAATTAAAAATAAATGAATAAAAAGAAAAATCTCAACATATTCATGTTTATATATACACAGAAAATAAGTCTTGGTATGAAACAAAATATTGACTGAAATTTTCATGGGCACCTTTCCTCCATCACTTACATCTGTTCTGTTTTTTCTAAAATAAAATAACACTCCAATTCTGAATAAATGTTGGAGTAGACAGGCAGCAGAACCCCTCAGTCATCCAAACATTACAGAGACCAAACTCAGGGTATACACAGAACACAAGGAGTGAGTGTCTGTCAGCAAACACCACTACCAGATGGTGACTGCCACACTCCTCGCTTGCCTGGACACCCCTGCCAGACTCTGTCCTTCCCCAGAACCTAACAGGGATTCCAGAAGAGTAGTCTTGCCACAGTTCTGCCTGTGCCTACCACCCCACTCCATGGGGACGACACACATGCACTCAATCATCTGCCTTATAAATCTGTGAGACAGGTGATCCCTGCTCTACAGATGAGGAAACTGAGGCAGAAAAAACTAAAGATCCCATCCTGAGGAGCTTGCACTCCCTGCACAGGAAGGAGGCTAAGCACCATGGGTTGACAGGGGCCATGCAGGCTCATCTTAGGGAGGATCATCAGAATCTGCGCTGCTCTGGGACTCAGATGCTGAGGTGCTTAGCGGACCCTTCTACCAGCCCCACCGAGAGGACTCCTGGGCAGCAAGGCCAGACTCAGGGCTGCTCCCACCCATGTAGGCCCCATGTGTCCCTAGCCTGCCCCACCTGTGGTGCCAAGAGACCCTCATCCTGCCCTCCACTCCATCCCCTATCTCTCTGGTACCCAAGACACACCTGGACAATATTCATCATCAGGCCAGCAGCCAACATGCCCAAGCCAGACAGCAGTATGGGCACTGTAACCTGGCACGCTGTGGTGAAGACGGTCTCAGGGAAGACCCCATGGGGGGACCGGGTGAACTCACAGCTGAAGCCTCGCAGCTTCTTGCCCTGAAAGCGAAACTCCAGGTTCAGCTGAGTGACTACCATGACCAGAGTGTCATCCACATCCCCAGAAGCAAGAAGTCCGAGCTTGGATGCTTGCTGTCCTCTCTTCTCCTCCCCCACACAGAGAGCAGCTTCTAGGAAGTTGCCAGGCGATCTGTGCCTGGAGCAGGTTCCCTGATGGCCCCTCGGCCAAGGGCCAGAGCAAACAGGTAAGGGGCAAAGGCCAGCGTGGCTCAGAGGCTCATCTGGAGACCGCCAGCTCTCGCTGTCCACTCCACGCAGGTCAGGCTCTCCTCAGGGAGTGGCTGTATGTCAGCCGGGAGCTCACTCTGCCAGGAAGGCTGGCTGTTCCTCAGTGGTGACCTTGACATTGTCCAGCAGCCCGGTCACGCTGGCCAGGCTGGACAAAGACAGAGCCCATGTGGGCCAGGCCCTGGTGTGTGCCCACGCAAAGGTCTCTCTCCTCCTCCACGCGTATGCTGCTCTGCCCTTGGCAGAGCAGGGCCTGAGAAATCTCAGTCAAAGCATACTGTTCCTGGGGGCACCTGAGAGGAATTTTACCCTTCAATGTCAAGAACTCTACAAGTCCCCAAGAAGGAAGCCATGCCTGTGGTCACTTCAAGCACTGTCCAGGGGGCTGACGGTCATAGGAAGAAGTTGTGTTAATGGAAGATAGAGCAGTGTTCTCCTTCAAAGGCCTGAAGGACTTGTCAATGTGCTTCCAAGTGACCTTACTTCCTCCATCTAGGAAGGTCAGACTCTGCCCTCCTAACCACCCAACCCAGAGAAGGGGAGGGGGCTGGGTAGGATGCCACAGTGAGCTCCCAGGGATTCCACAGTTTGATGCATCCTCTGTGCACCTGATGGGCACAAGGGACAGAATGTCCAGGCCTAGGCAGAGCATGAATTGAGGCCACAGACAGCAGAAACCACCTGAAGCGGAGGGTCAGGCTCACACCTACTGACCCAGGGCTACCCCATGGGGTCTAGGACTCACCTCTGCTCATCTTCCTAACCTAGCACTCTCCACCTTTCCTCATTCTCCTCTATCAGCAGAGTCTGTCTCACACTCAAATCCAAACCAGCCTTGTCTGGAGCCCCAGCCACCATCAGACTCTCCAACCCTAGCCTTTCTCTCCCTACATAGCCCAGGCAAGTTTCTCCACTAACTGGTTCTGCCCAAGACCCAGGAGTTCCTCTCACTGTTATCTTCAGTCACACCCCTCACATATTCATTAATCTAACAGATATTTTAAACTCCTCACAGGAGCCAGACTTTCCCACTTTTCTTACTGGGAGTTGACACTTCTGTCCCTCGCCTTCCTTTCGTGCTTACCTGAATATACTGGAATGGCCTCTGTACCGGACACTTTCTGAGCCTAAGAAACTGACAGCTCCCACTGCCTATCTCCTGGAATGGTCACGTGCAGGTGGTGCGGCTGATACTCCCAGCTGTGGTCCCAGCCAACAGGCAGCAGCAATCTACCAGTCATGTGAGTGAACTGTCTTGGACTGAGACCAGCACTCAGTAAGCTGCCCCTCAGCTGCTAGTCTCACAGAGCCCCATCCAAGTTTCAGGTTCACGATCAAATTGAATTACCAGGCTTCCAATAAGCTACCACGTTTTGTTGTGCCTTGTCTCAAAGCAGTGAGTAACTGGGACCTCTGGGAACTATCTCTGCTCTTGTTTCTGCCGGCCCCAGATATATCCAACAACTCCCGCACTCTCACTCTGGCCCGGACTTTCCCTGTACTTCAGACCATCATTCTCAGTTGCTTATAGGGAGGAATGAGTATAACTCAAACTCAGCCAGTCTGTCACAATCATTTCTTCCAAATTCACCTCCACTAAGTTTCCTGCCTCAAAGAACATTCTGTCAAGCCTTACTGAATGAACTCCACGTCCAATCTGCCTGTCTGCACATCTCTCCCACATCTGCTCCTAGCCCATGGACACCAACTCTGCCATGACTCCTAAGAGCCCCCAATCCATCTCCCACCAAAACCAATGCATGCTCCTGTAAGAATGATCACTTAGGCAGTGTAAGGAGATGGCTTGCTTGAATATCTACAACAAATCTCACTTCATGACCTAAGAGAGAGGGATGTACAGCCCCTCCCAATCTGGAAAGACACATCCCTTTTATCTGTCCACAGTCTTGTGCTGCAATTTTCTTTGGGAACCTCTGCAGCAGGTTTCCCAAGCATGACTTTAGTAAGCATGTCTCCCTCCCTTGCTGAGAAGAGAACCTGGCTGCCTCACTCCAGGCTGCAATTATCAGAGTAGGGCAAATCATTCCTTAATTTACTCAACACACTACAGTATTATTCACCGTGTAATCTTCCAGACTCTGTCTAAGCACAAGGGTGCCAAAGAGACATGTTTAGTTTTCCAGTATGGTAGATAATCATGACAATGAAAGTGGAATTGTGATGATAACCACTCTAAAAGAAATCCACTGAGTAGTGACAGCAGAACAAGATCAACTGCAAGCAAGCACTCAGTAACCAAGAAAAGAAGGAAGGATGGAGGGAGGGAAGAGAGAAGCAAAGGGAATAGGAAGAAGGAAGGGAGGAGGGTGGAAGGGAGAAAAAAAAAGAGGGAGAAGGAAGGGAGGTAGAAGGAAGGCGGGCAGTTGTGCTCTGTAGTTCCTTTTGTGAAACAATCTATTTCTCAAAAGTCTTTCATAATCAAGCAATCACTAGACTCTCAAAACATCCCCAAGCTTTTCATTCACACGGAGTACAGCATTAGGTTTTTACAAATAAGAAAACAAAGGCCACAAGAAGTTCTGCCCCAAATTACAATGCAAGTTAACCCTGGAGAAGAGCCTAAGACCCTGACTCCACTCTCCTGGCATTGGCACCCCTCACGACCCCTGCTCAGGCCATTCATTACCTGTGGTTTGGAGGATTGTTCAAACATGGGCTGGAAGCACTTAAGAGTCTGGGAGAAAGGGCTCCATCCTTTCAGTCTTTGTCTTTCTTTTTTTCTGAGATAGGGGCTCATTATATAGCTCAGGCTGGCCTCAAACTGCTATGTACTCCAGGAAGATCTCAGACTCAAAATCTTCCTTCCTCAACTTCCACAGTGCATGAGCCACTGCATGAGCCACAGCTGAAATGGGGTATTTTATGAAAAAAATGCTACAGGAGTCAACTGGGCTCAGTGCATCAGCTGATTAAGGATAGAAGCCCTTGAGGCCAGCCAGCTTCTGTGGCTGTTGAACACTTTAAGTCATATCCTCTTCCCAAGGCTCCAGACAAGAGTTTATTCTCCCCAGGCATGCCCACCTCCTGAGGAGTCCTTATAGTTTGGGATGTGCGGTCAAACCTTCTAAAAAACATATAATTGTGCACAATGGATCCTAAACCTTCTTGTCAGTGGAGGAAATATAGAAATAAAACTATATAATATCATACAAAAAGGTATCTGACATAGTTACAAATTATGACAAAAATGTTTCTCAAATTTGTTTTAAAATTGAGTGAGAATAAGATTACTGACATTTAGAAATGGGAAGAAAGGAGCTAAAGGTGTAGGGAAGGTGGGATGTGTAGGGGAAGGGTAATAAGGGAAAAGAAAAAAATGTGAGATAATGAAAAGATGGAAATAAAGTGTTTGTAGATGGGGAGGGGGAGAGGGGGTAAAGGGAGGGCAGGGACAAGGGGAAAAAATGAGAACCACGACCTGTCATATAGAGGTACAAATTCCCAACAATAATGTAACTGTACTGTATCCCTAAAATGTACCAATAAACTCAATTAAAGCTGAAAAAAAATTAAAATTGAGTGAGAAATAAAGACATCCCCCCCCACGCACACACATACATGTACATAAATGAACATACACACCTGAATGTGGTAAAAACTTTGGGCTGGGCAGATGTGACGGTAACCTCAGCTACTCAGAAGGCTGAACAATGAGGCTGCAAATCTGAGGCCAGCCTGGGCCACTCAGTGAGACCCTGTCGCTGAATAAATAAATAAATATATAAATATATAAATGGCTGGGATACAGCTCCGTGATTAACTTTTAACTACTGTAATTATTGGCTTTTATAACCACCAAATGAAACCATTGCCAGAAATAAACCAAAGAACATATTCACGTGAGCAAAATTACTTTCTTGTAAAACTAGAGAACACTACATGTCAACACAGTTTATTGGGCCATATTCTGGAAAATGAAGGCTATGATTTTTAAAATAGTTCAGTAGCACTGAGGAAAAATCTCAAAGAGCCTGGAATGAATTCCAGGCTACACTGAACAGCTGGAGGAGCCTGAGTCAAGCATCATGTGGTTTCCTCGGTGACCTTGAAAAAGCCCACCTTGCAGTCCCTATGGGGACTAGGACAAGATCAGTAGTTTCCAACCCATTATGCACATTGGCACACCTGGGAGGGGATGGGGGCACTGCTCAGTAGCAGGGTGTGCACTTAGCACGCAAAAGACCCTGGATTCTCTCTCCCTCTTTCACGCACACATAGGATCTCACCTACACAGCAAAGAATCAGGACCCCCAGGGCTGGGCATGAGTATCTGAACCCGGGACCTATTCCGACTCTGGTGTTCAGGGAGCATCTTCTCAGGGGCGGCTCGGCACAGGTCTCTATTCCTAGCACCCAGGGGAAAGAGTTTGTTTCCCCAGGAGCAGGGTTCTGGACACCTCAGGGTCACCCTGAGCCTAGGCTAATTTTGAGCCAGGTAGCCATACTTCAAAGCCTGGATGCTGCTTCTCCCCCTATTCAAGTCTCAGAGATCAAGCTATCTGAGTTTTAAATAACTGCAAAGATCTTCGCTGTTTCTGATCTCAGACAGCAGAGCCCACCCACAGGCGACAACGAAGACCTCATGTACTGGCCTGACTAGCTGGCCTGCCCACCATTTCCAGGCAACCCCTGTGTCCATCCAAGCCTCCTCTCTAGTGTCTCCTTCTCTAGAGACCTTCTCTAGCCTCCCTCTCCAAAAGGCCATTCCCACCATCTGCACAAGCACATCGCCCTGCTTTGTTTTCTCCCTGGCCCTTGCTGCTCTCAAGCACTGATTTACACACTGGTGTCTGTCTCTCCGCTCAACTAAGTACCACAGAAGCAGGGCCTGACTGTCATGTCTCCCATGGCACCAGAATAGAGTGTGCTGCCTGAATGAATCAATGAATAAATGAGCAAACAGAATCACAGAAACAAGAAGAAACCCAGGCAGCTATTTTCAGGCTGAGTGTTATAAGGCTGAAAGCAATTAGAATCATGCTGTTTTACCACGTAGGGGAACCAGAAGGACTTCGAATGATCTAAACACAAGTTCTTTTCTCCATTCTGCTTTCATGGATAAGGTCCCTAGCTAAACAACACTTCTTATCAAGGGACTCAGACACTGTGCCTAAGTGTCTCCAAGTACCAGACTTCAGTTTCTGCTAGCCTGTGTAACCATTCAAACAGGCCAGTCACACCCTCCTGCAGGAACCAGGACTCCTAGCCCCATTCCTATAGAGCCCTGTCTCTACAGCTTATGCTCACTCTGCTCCTGAACAGATCCGTGTAGGGTGTGATGTGCTCCTCTCCAGGCCGAGCGATAGACTAAGAAACTGCTGTTGCTTACTTCTAGTGTTGGGTGCTGTGCCATCCCCATAACCCTCCCTCGCCAACGGGACAAAAAGAGGTGACCATAACAACTGGCATTATGAACAGATGAGCCAAACATGACCCAAGATACCTGGACAGCTCTGATGAAGTCCTCTTTGCTAACTGGTTCCCAACATGGCAAAGGCCTCCTGAGGTGGACCTGCCCATTGCTGCCCACTTGACCTTGAGCTAGCTCTGTCCACATTCTTTGTCTCTCTTTGGGTGCTGCCATCTTCACTTGCCCTAAAGTTGTTCTCACTGTCACAAGGAGAACTATTCTTACCTGGCTGTATCATAGGGAGCAGCTTGTGTCTGGCAGGTGCTCCCTGGCACTCCTGCCACCTGGGTGGACTTACAGATTGACTTAAGAG